TAGGCTGGGGGGAGAAGGCCTCTGCTCTCTTGATAAATCTACTCAGGGTGTGCTAGCCCCTTGCAAATTGTCCCCTGGCCAAGGTCAGGGACATTGATCTGATCTTTGAAATGTGGGAATCTTCTGAAGCATTCAGCTGTTGAGCCACTTGAGCAAAAGTAGGAAAGATGCTATGTGGGATCGTTGCTCAGAGTTGCAAGCTCATGAAAGTGGGAAGAGGAGCTGAGGCTCCCAGGGTCTCCCCTGCTTTGTCAAGGGTTAAGGAGTTAGCGGGAGGTGTATTTTCTCTTTCAGGTTCCAGTTGGAATGAAAATAGCAGCTCAGGGAGAATCACCAACTGTCTCGTCCTGAAGAACCTCACACCTCAGGTGGGTTACACTTTGGGGGGGAGGTGTTTTGGGCTGGGGGATCCGAGCCCCTCCCCCTTCTGGCCAGGAGGGGCAGCAGCTCAATGAGGCCATCCCTTCGCTCTGTGCCCAGATTGATGGCTCCACCCTGCGGACCCTCTGCATGCAGCATGGGCCCCTGATCACATTCCACCTGAACCTCCCCCATGGCAACGCTTTAGTCCGGTACAGCTCGAAAGAAGAGGTGATGAAGGCACAAAAATCCCTCCACATGTGAGTAGCCGCCAGGCGGGATGCGAGGCTCAGGCAGGAACAGAGGGGAGGCCGCAGGGCTAGTGAGAGAGGCACATGGTTTACTGGGCAGAGGCATGTTTGGAACTCAGACCTTCCATTCAGTAAAGGACCTTTTCTTTCTAATTTATTTTTTTTTAATTTGATTTATATGCCGCCCTTCTCCGAAGACTCAGGGCGGCTTACAATGTGCTCAGCAATAGCCTTCATCCTTTTGTATATTTATACAAAGTCAGCTTATTGCCCCCACAAACTGGGTCCTCATTTCACCTACCTTAGAAAGGATGGAAGGCTGAGTCAACCTTGAGCCTTGGAGAGATTCGAACCCTGCAGTAATTGCAGGCAGCTGGTCTTAATAACCAGCTTAATAACAGGGTGCCTTAAACCCCTGTACTACCAAGGCCCCTTAATCTGCTCTTAATAGGCCTGGTTTTATTTGCCATTTAATTGGCTGGATTCTCCTCCGGAGGGGGCCTCTTTTTTTATTACCACAGAGTAGTTACCGTAGTATAAAGTAAGTGGGTAAATTGTTGTAATTGCTGTTTTTGAGGGGCTTAGAAGAAGAGGAGGAGGAAGAGGAGAAAGATACAGTCACAGGGTGGGACTGGTGGCCTCAGGTGGAGATGCGTTTCAGGGGGCGGTTGTGTGCTTTGCAAGCCTGCTGCCATCTCACCTGCCTCTTGCTGGCTTTTGTGAACAGGTGCGTCCTCGGGAACACTACAATTCTGGCTGAGTTTGCCAGCGAAGAGGAGATTAGCCGCTTCTTTGCACAAGGCCCGTCTCTGACCCCGACCCCCACCTGGCAATCTCTGGGCACCAGCCAGACCCGCCTGGGGAGCATGGACAGCCCCCACGCGTTCTCCAACCGCAGTGACCTGACCCCTCCCTGGAGCGGTCCTGGGCTTTCAGGAACAAGCAGTGGGGATCTCCATGGCACCTCCCTTTGGGGCAGCCCCAACTATTCCACCAGCCTGTGGGGCTCCCTGGGCGGCAACGACACCAGGGGCCTTGGCAGCCCCTCCCCGCTCAATGCGTTTCTCTCCGTTGACCATCTGGGGGCCGGGGGGGAGTCCATGTAACCTTGTTTCAGCGGGAAAAACTGTGACCTCAAAGCAGCACTAAATTTGGATTCCCCCCCACCCCCACCTGCAGCCTCTAGGGGTCAACTGTGGAAATGGTTACGTCGTGCACATTTTTCCTCTTTGTTTTAGCCCAAAACATACCAGTTTGAATACTTGAATCATGCAGGCCAATATTATAATGTGAAAAGTGAAAAGATTTACATTTCCAGGTAGTACATTGCATAATTCAGCAGTTTCCTACATAAGATCAGTTTACTTTTCTTGTTTTCCTTGATTTTTTTTTTCCTTTGGCAACTTGCTGAAAATGTTGGAGTTTGAGCTTTTTAAGCTTTGCACAGACTTGGTCCTTCTCCCTACTCTACCATGTCTGAGTGGTAGCGGCAGCAGTCCCCACCCCCCCGGGCAATGTTTTGTGGTGGGCGGGCAAAGGGGTGCCTGCTTTGGGTCGGGACGAGCCCCAATGCCCCTGCGGGCCTGCCTGCTTGCCTGGCCACTCGGCACCTCGTGGCCGTCCGTGGTGCCAAACAGTCGGGGAGAAGACCCTGCCAGGATGACGGATGAAAATGTGTTGCACCTGCCGGCTCCTGTGGAATCGGACAGACGGACGGAGCTCGGCAGCTCCCGAAGCTGCACGCCCGGCTGCACGCCTGGGTGGCGCCCTGCACTTTCAAGAGGCGTTTGGGTTTTGTCTTTTATTTGGGGGGCTCCTGTTGGGGCACTGCCTTGTTTACAGAAGTTTTTTCTTTCTCTTTTTTTAAGAAACAAATGTTTACTCTTCCATCACTTAACTATTTTTTAAAAAAACAAAAGATGTGGATGATAAAGATGCTTCCTCTCGATCTCTGGGAATCACGGGCCGTGTGCGGCCACGTTCCATTCGTTTTTTTTCTACCCCCCTCCCGATCCAAGAGCCTGGCTCTCAGGAAAACGAAGGTCCCCAGTAGAACTCCTCGTAGTTTCTTATAGGAAAAATAACTTTTAGCACTGATTATTACTTGCTCGGTAAAATGACTTCTGCCAAAAATTGCTTCAATTCGCTGGAGTTTGACATTCTGTGCTTTCCGATGCTGTCTTTTTAATAGTGCGGGGGAGGGAGGGGGGAAGGGGGGGGGCTTGGCTGGTAAACTGTAGTTCCCTCTTTTCATAAAGCCCCCCCCTGGCTCCCCCCTTCCCGCCCCCCCTTGTGCCATTGATGCTCTTCCTGCTCTTGTGACTGTGTTTCATGTTTAACCTTAAAGCTGAAGTAACTATGCAGACTGTAACCAAGGATTTGGAATTACAGAACTTTGTTGTATAAATTTTAAATGTTTAAAAGTTCCTGCAAATACTTTTCTTGTGAAAGTGTTAAACTCATCTTCCTTTTTGCCACAAATGGTATTATCTGATGCTTGTTTAGTCGGAGAATGAAATACTAAACAAGGATAAAAAAAAGAACCTTTTAACTGTGCCGAAAGATGCTCTCATTTCATTGCCTTGATTCTAACTGTTGTGTCTGAAGATGCAAAAGTTGTCAGTGGCTTTTTAACTGTTTACAAATAGTGTGTGATTGTAAAATGTACATTTTGGGTTGTGTTCAAATTATGAAGCTTCTCCAGATATTAATAAATCATGACTTTGGGGGCTGCTTATCCGTTGTGTTGGATGTCTCTGATTTTCTCTCCAGCAGAACCTGCAGCCTTCGTCACCTGCAGGTATCGGATTGGCCTGGAGAGGCCCGTTGGCTTTTTCACTGGGCAGATAGCACGGATGCCCCAGAGTCGTTTCATGTTTTCAACGTACTGACAGTTCTGTACCTTTACATCTCCAAAACAACACTCTTTGTTTCTCAGTCTTGATTTATTTAACAAAGTAGGTCAGTGTTGGCAAACCTTTTTGGCACCAAGTGCTGAAATGGGAGCACATGGGTGCAGGGGAGTGCCGGAAACCGGAAGAGCAGCTCCCTGGCACTGATGTGCGCACTGGGAAGCAGAGCTTCCGGTTTCCAGCATGCATGTGCGCCAGTCACCTGGTCTTCCGGTTTCTGCTGCGCATGCGTGCAGGAAGACATCCACACCAGCACCCGGAAGAGTAATGGGCGATGGCTGGCGTGCTTGGAGATGGCTCTGCTTGCCACTTCCGACATGCGTGCCATAGGTTCGCCATCACTGAAGTAGGCGATTCCTGTGTTCATGCAGGTTAGTCAACCTTGCATGATAATCAACAGGACTATTTCCTACGAAGCTTTGAAGCACTTAACAATTATTAACCCTCCAGTAAATTTGACATGAAATTAGGATTGGCGTCTGGGCTGCCTCCAGGAAAACTGATCAGAAAAGCTCATTAGCAGAGATAATGTCCAGGGCCCGTGGCAGTTTTTCATCTTAGCAGCTTCATTTCTAAGCATTGTAGAAGAAGAGGCCAGCTCATGGATGCTGTAAATGACTCCCCCAAGTGTTGGAGAGGATCCCTCTGGTCCCTTCCAGGCATCTGATACAAATTTCCAGTGTGAACCAGTTGTCTGTGTTTGTTTTGATTTCACGAGTTCCATTTTCTCAAAGGAGGAGTTAGATTTCTGGGTGTTGGGCTCTAAAAGGAGGACTGAGAACAGCCACTCTGGTGCCAAGTGGAAAAATGCCCCAACTCGGGAGCTGAAAGGCCAAACTCCTGGATGGCGTGAGTGGCGGGACTATTGGCGACCCTGTTGGGAAACGAGCAGCACAAAACTGGCCCTTCATGTGTGGCTCAACTATCCGGAGGGTCAAAGGTGCTCCCTGCATGATGACAAGGTGGCTGCCCTGAGCTGTTAGGCAGAGTTCCAGTTCTCTGCAGATTTATTTAATGATCTCTCCAAGATGCTCCCTAATGAAGGCTGTGTAAAAAAAGCCAATTGAAACGGATTGTTTCCAGAGCAAACTTCGGGTGGAGGGGTGGAGATTGAATTAAGCTTGCAAATAAGAGGGATGTTTTTGTACCTATGCAGAAACTGCTAGAGAATCAGTTAAGAAAACACAATTGTCAAATCAAACCAGAAATGAATTAAATTGAAATTGAACTTTGCAGTAGACAAGATGGCTGGTGAAGGAGGAGGGAGGGGCGAGACTGCATAGGCTGCGATGGTAAACGTGCCCAGCACAGTGCCCAAAAAATCCACCAGGATTTTGAAGTCCACCAGGCTTAAAGTTGCCAAGGTTGGAGACCCCGCTCCAGAATACCCGCGAATAGTGAGGTGGGGATGGTGCAAATCGCAGGGAAAGTCTTGAGAAACATTGTTTTAAAAACGGCGATAGTGAAACAAAAGGCGTAAGAATTTTTCATATTTATTCTGACGGCCAACATTTACAACTTTAAATAGGATAAACAAAACTCAGAGAGCCCCAGTGATTCCAAACCGCAAAAAGGGTGGCTTGCCAGGCTCGTCCATCTCGATCGCTTCATCCAGCTCTCAGAAACAAAACAGGGAATACCTGTGAGCAAGGCAGGGAGAGAATATCTGTAGCTTGCATAGGATCACCAGAAAGGAGTTAAACACTGACAAGAGCAGCCAGTTCCTATTGGCTCCACCAGGCAAGGAAAGATCACACATGATGACAAATAAACACGTCCAGTATAATGTTGCAAGATCGAATCTGGGCCTGTCACTGGGATCAGAGATGTACTCTTCCGAGCTTTCGGACTCCTGCTGGAGCCCATCTTCAGGGAACTTCTCTCTACTGGAATATGTGCTCACAGAATAGCCCAAAGGCCCATATTCCAGTAGACCCAGATTTGATTTTGCAATGAAAGATCACCTGCCCAAGGATAAGACCATTTTGATCCAGAAGAGCAAAGGCTCCCAATGAGGCTGTTTAGGGAGTCAAACCAAATGCATCTGAATCATTGTGTGGCTCTCGATGCCCAGGGGAGGCATGGCCAGCTAGCTGAACACTGGCCAGACCAACCCAGGGTGCAATTCTGGGGTGGCCTTGGATTCACAGCTCCTGCTAGAAGAGCAGGTGCCAGCCGTGGTCAGGAGGGCCTTTGCACATTTTCAGGTTGTGCATCAGTTGTACCTGTTCCTGGACTGGGAGGCTCTGCTCAGTCCCTTGTGCCCTTTGGGCTGGATTACTGCAATGTGCTCTACATGGGGCTGCCCTTGAAGAGCATTCGGAAGCTTCAACTGGTACAGAATGCAGCTGCAGGGATAGTAAACGATGTTGGATATTCAACGCATGTAACCACTGCTTCGCGAGCTGCCAGTGTGTTTCTGGGTGCAATTCAAGGGCCATATATTAAAGCCATGGAGGCTTTTCCAAGGAGCCAAATTGTCACCTTTAAAGCTGTTCATGGCTTGGGGCCAGCTTATCTGAAGGACCATTATCCCAGTCCTTTCTACCTGTCCAATTCGGTCCAGCAGGATGGGGAAGCTGAAAGTCCCATTAACCAAGGAAAGTTGGATGGTGGGAAGGAGGAGAGGTGCCTTCTATGCTGTAGCCCCTGCCCTCTGGAACATTCTCCTTCCAAAGATTAGAATGAGTCCAATCCTGTTGGCCTTTCATAAGGTTTTAAAAATGTGGGTATGTGCCCATGCCTGGGGTTCCATATATAGAGAGTCCAATTTCTTGGCTATCCTGACAATTATGATACTTTTTTCAGCTACTGAATATATGTATTTTTATACTGTTTTTAACTGAGCTTTGTTTTAGAATTAGTTCGCCACCCAGAATCACTTGGTTGGGGTGGGCAGCTACAGAAATTAAAGAAATAATTTGTCTGTGATCATCAAGTTGCCCTTTTGAACATAAAAATAAGCTGACCAAAGGTGTGCTGTCCCAAGGCAGGACATGCTGCTTCCTCCCCATTATTCTGCCATGATGAACAGGGGCTCCCACATCCCCGGCAATATCCCAGCATTCATCAGCCAAAGCAAGAATATTTCCTGCCTCATCAAACACAGAGAGGCAAGGAGATTTGGGCATAGCAGCCCCCTATTCTGTCCTGGTGAACATCTGCTTTGTAGGTGCTCTGGGCCAGTGCCTGTCCGCCTGCAGCTCCCCTTCTGAAGCTTTGCAGGAATTCTCTGCCATTTCTGATTTGATTTCCTGCAGCTCAGACTAACATTCCACAATCCATCCCAGGAATGCCCTGGACACGGAGGCTTCAACCCAACTTCGATTCATCATGAAATTGCAAGCACTAGTTTTCATCTTTCTGATATGCTGCTGAGCATTCAAGAAGAAAAAATAGGTTTAACTGTACAAGCCTCTCTGCTTTCCTGCCCCTACGGCTGCTAATGCTTGCTCCCTCCTTCCCACCAAATTTTCCAATATATCGTTAATCACAGAATCATAAAATGTAAGCTTGGAAAGGATGCTAGAGATCATCTAGTCCAGGGGTGTCAAGGCCCGCGGGCCCATCCTGGAAACAGCAAAGGACTGGCTCACGGTGCTTCTGCCAGTGAAAACGGAGCTCGGGGAGGCCACGCTCAGAGGGCTGCAGGAGACTGTCCCAGCTGAAAATGGAGCCTGGGAGGGCAGAGGGCCCTGTTTTTCCTGACAGAGAGCTGCAGAGGGGTCCACCCCGGCCACGCCTCCCCCCCCCCCCCCCCCGATCAAACACAACCCTGATGCAGCCCTCAATGAAATCGAGTTTGACACCCCTGATCTAGTCTAACCTCTCATTGCAGGAATCCCTTCTCACGCTCTGCCTAAGGATGCTAGGCAGGAGCGGCTTTGCTCCCAATCCAAATTCTCCCACCTTCCTAGACTGAAATGCAGACCAAACCCACCCATGCCCCCCACATAAGGCTCCCACGATGGAATCTGCTCCCTTCTTGCAGGCTTCATCGCACAACAGCATCACAAAATGACGTCCACTTACTCCACTTGAGAAGCTCATTCATACACGTCTTGCGTATCGGCAATATAATCCATGATATCTTGAGGACTCATCAGCTTTTCTGCTGCTGCGTCTGGAATTTCAAACCCTGGAAAAGATTTGACTCCTTTAGTTCAGAGATGCCAAAGTTTCCATCAACGAGAGCAGGAACCACAATCTTGGCCTGAAGGCTCCAGCCTTCTGCCCAACGAACCCCGCAGGGTGCAGGGCCAATTCCACAGCTTCAGGGGGAGGAAAGATGTCAGCCCCATCTCTCAGAGAGAATACTGGAGAACTCAAAAGCCCAAACCCAGATAGGTCCCACAGTGCTGCCATTCTGGTGGGGAGTGGGGGCCTGAGGCATTTTTCTTGCTGCCTATCTATCCTGTGTTTTGATTTACCTTCCTGGGAATGTAAGGAGGGAGGGCCATCTGTTTTGTCTTGGCGCTGGAGCATCTTGGCAAGCCTTCTCAGCCTGCGATTCTCAAAACAACTTCACAGCTGTGGATTGACTTATTCAACCCTTATGGGGGTAAGGGGGGGGTTCTAACTGCTTTAACCTAATGGAATTGCCCTGGGATCTTCAGCTCCTGCTTTCTTTGTCTTGCTATCACTTTCCTCTCAATCAAAGTTTCCTTTGGAAATGCCAACCCTTTCAAGAGTTCTATGTTCTTGAGCGGAGAGGAGAGGCAGGGTCTCCCACCCACTCACCAAGCAACCATGGACCCTCCAAGATCTTTTGGCACAAAGCTGAATGCAGCCTGCATCCCATTTTTTCTATATCTGTGCCATTGATTGGTTCAATTTATTATTGGTTCGATTTATATGCCGCCCTTCTCCGGAGACTCAGGGTGGCTTACAATGCGTTAAGCAATAGCCTTCATACTTTTGTATAGACCTGCTTAGTAGGGCTTTTTGGCCCCCCTTAAGCGGTGTTCTTTTTTATACAAAGTGCCCCCACAATCCGGGTCCTCATGATCCCATCGTCCAAGTAAGAAAAGGGCGAGCAGGGCAGACCCAGAAGCCTTGGAAGCCCCTGCCTGGGCAGAGAGAGACCCGGGGGCTGCCGAGGCCAGTCCCAAGGCGGGAAATTCAACCGGGCGAGCACCCAAATCCTGCCTTCGCGATCGACCTCGAGGCGCTGCAGGGCAACGGACGCCGCCATGACCTTCCCCGGCTGGGCTGCACTCGGGCGACCCGGGAAGGACGGAGGGGAGGGCTCCGCGGGGGCGGCCTTACCGAACTCGTCCTCCATGGCCATGATGATCTCCACTTGGTCCAGGCTGTCCAGGCCCAGGTCCTTCATGAAGTGCGCCTCCGCCGTCAGCTGCAGGGGCGACCACCGGGCGGGTCAGAGGGGCTGCCCGTCCTCACCCCCCCCACTCCCCTCCCTCCCTCCCTCCCCTCCCCGCCCCGCCCCGCCCACCTTCTCGGGGTCGATCTTGTCGTAGAGCCTGAGCACGTAGAGCACCTGGTCGTGGATGCTCTTCAAGGTCAGCGTCGGCGCGTCCGAGTAGCCGCGGACCCACGGAGGCCGCCGGGATAGAGCGGGCAGCTGCACCCCGGCCCAGGCCGCCCCCGCCAGGCCGAGCCTGCCCTCCGGCCCCGGCCCCACCGCTCCCGCCGCGCCCAGCCGGAGGACGAGCAGGCGGCGCTGGCCACGGAGCCCGGCCGCGGCGCGGAGCAGCACACGCGCCGCCATCTTGACCCTGTGCGCATGCGCCCTCTGCGCCAGGGGGTGGGGCGCGGGGGCTCCTCCCGGCAGGCCTCGCGGCGAGGGAGGGAAGGAGGGGGAGTGACATCCCGCGGGGAGTCTCGTCACGTGTGAATCCGGCCCCATCCGCCACTCGCGTGCAGCCACCGCCGAGTAAAGGCGGCCAGGCGGCTGCAACTGTCGCAAGCCCAGCTACAATGTTGCCATTTCTGCCCGGTCCCGTGTCGGGCGCCTTTCGCGGGGGCTTCTTTCTCGCGCCCCGTTTGGGATGAGAATGCAGCCTTTGCGCCGAAAACCCATACAAGAATCCTCGGATCGCAGAAGCCGATGTGTTGCGGGAGACCCCAAGACAAGGACAGCATCGAGTTTTGCCCCTCCAGCCACCTGTGGAAAGCCCCCCACCCCCAGTAATGAAATATTTTGGGGAATATTAAGAGGCCAGAATATGGTTTTAAGAGGCAGAAAGCAGCCCTCCTTTCTTAATAGCCCACAGCAGATGCCAGCACTTAAGATCAGGTGCTTATTGAAAGCGGAAGCAACCTAGATGGCTCCATTCATAAGCAAAGCAAGTCCACTCAAGACAGAATATTTCAAAACCCCTTACAGCAATTTCGACAGCTAAAAGCATTAGAGCAAGCTGCCCCTCACCCAAAAATCCAAAACGGGACATAGCCATCAGCCAGAATAAAGAATTACCCAACACCCTTTCAGAACACAAAGCCCATATTGCCCAAATCCCAAACCTACAGAAACTATAAAGATCCATCCAGCCATTTGGTCAGCTGCCCCAGAACCCCAAACCCTGGTGGTTCCATTCATCAATAAATGGACCTTCTTTCCAATCGTTCTCCATTTTATTTCCAGCATCTTTCTCCCAGACTGCACTGCAGAGATGTTGGGCACGCTGCTTGCATCATTCCCATCCACCATTCCCTCGATTTTATTTACATTCCGTTCTTATGTTTGCTGTGGCAAACCTCAATACTCCTTCCTGCTTATTTTCCTACAACGACCCTGTGAGGCGGGTTGGGCTGACAGTGACTGGCCCAACATTGCTTCCTCCCTGTGTAGAGCAGAGGGACAGTGGCCCGAGTATCTCGTTGGAATGGAAATGAGCCAGAACGGGCTTGCTCAGCCCAAAGACGACTGAGCTAAACAATTTCTAGGCCTCAGTGAGGCCTATTGGAGCAAAGTCCGTAAGTGAACAGGGAAGGGGACAAAGGTGACCCATGAGCAAGCAGAGGGCAGCCGTGGCACAGCTATTACCCACCGGCTGTCTCTGCAGAGCTGATGCAGCCACTGCTGGATAAAGGCTCAGGCAGTCAAGAAGAGAAAATTCAATGGCCATAGACCAGAGGTCTTCAAAGTCGGCAGCTTTAAGACTTGTGGACTTCAACTCCCAGAATTCTCCAGCCAGCTTAAAGCTGCCAACTTTGAAGACCTCTGCCGTAGACAGACCGGTTAGCAAGGAGGACACAGAAACCGTCTCCTCTCCCGCAGAAGCTCAATGCTGGGTTGGGAACAAACATGCAGGGAATTAGCACAGTGGTACAGAATTCAAAAATGTAAAAAAAAAAAAAAAAAACACATCCCAACCACATTTGAGGGCAAAATGTGGACTACACAATGCAGTAAATGAGAAGATGTTGCACTGCAGTGTGAACATAAAAGGGGCAAATTGCATCCCGCCCAGCAGATGTGCCCAATGCACTGGTACGACCCATTGTGTGCAGTTTGGCACATGGAGCCACTGAGAAGGGAACGCTGGCTCCCTCATCCCCATCCAGCACCAATGCAGGATTTGGGGGGGGGGGGGGTCACCCGATTATTCGGTTATGGAATAGCCCAAGGCAGCCTCTTTGGGGACCGTCGTTGCCAATTATACACGGTAGCGTTGCCAGAGGTGCTGAAAAACTCATCTTTTGGGTACGGATAAATGATCTCAAGTCCTCCCCTTTATCTCTCTCGCCACTTATTCTTGTCAGGTTTTGCCTGCCTTTTAGCCTGTTCTGTCCGTGAGTGGGCTGTATTTTTGCTAGCTGAACTTGCCGTGATCTGGATACAGGGATTAACCAGGAATGTTCTGGGGGCAAGATAAATCGGCACGGGCAGCTTTCCCACAGGCCATTCCAGGCCATCCCTCCGTCTTCAGGGCAGTTAAGAGCCAGCCACAGCTACTCTAAAGCCCAGTTCCTTTCCTATCTTCCTCTGACGGCGGCTTCACATGGATAGGGGTGTCTGACCAAGGGTGCAGGCAGCGAGCCCTCATTCCCTATTTTTTGTGCCGAGGGTGGGGGTGAGAGTGGCATAAAGTTAGATATTTACGCACCTTCCGCCGTGCCCTCAAGACCTTTTTATTCCAACAGGCTGGCCTGGCCTAACCTCCCTTTTTAATTGTAAATTTTACATTTGTCTAAAACTTTAGGGGTGTTTTAATCTGTTCCGGGCCAAATTTATTTAATTAGGTTTTTATACTGTTTTAAATTTTGTAATCTGTGTGTTTTACCTCTTGGCTGTTCCCTGCCCTGAGTCCTTCAGGAGTAGGGCGGTATATAAATCTAATGAAATAATAAAATAAAATAATAAATAATAATATCCCTGCAATATCCCAGCTAGCAGAATACCCCATTCACAGGCACAGAAGCCACTTCACATGTTCCTCTGCATTAGCTTAAAAAAAATGTATCAGGAATGTACTTGGATCTGCCTAAAAAATAACATTCTACTGCCATGTTATCCAGTGTCACTTCTAACATTTTACCCAAAAAATCATCACGTATTCAAGAAGAGTCAAGGAAACGTGTCACTTGCTTTATCAGTTTCATTCCTTTTAACAGGTGCAGAGCAATTGCCTCCAAAAGAGGCGAAACCTTATCCAACCAGTATAGCTCCTATTAATTCTGGCGCGTTTGCAGAAGAAATATTCCAGGTAGATTGTGACCAAGCCTATTTCTGAGTCCCTTTGACAAAACTGGATCTCCTTGAGGGCACTTCGCAATGCCACCACTGTGAGCTTGGCGTGTCCCTGAACTGCCCTCCGAGGGATTCGGCTCCAGAGTTCTTGGAAGGCAGGAGGTCGGGTCTGCAGGTCTCTCAACCAGGGTGGAGCCCCCCTGTGTACCTATAGAGGTAAACCGAGCCATCTTCTTGCCCAGCCAGCAGGCAAGTGTCCGTGACTGACCACCTGGCCAGGGACCAGCTGCCTCCAGAGTTGGGGGGCAGCAACGCAGTGCATTGCCCCAGAAATAAATCCCACACCGCAATGGTTCCAGATGTCAAGACAGCTGCTGCCGAAGAGCCCCTCACGTCACGCTCCAAGTACCTGAAAGACCAGGAAAAGAGTCTTTAGGAAGCTGCAGGCTTTGGAGCCTCGTCTCTTGCCTGCTTGGGGCACACTCATATAATAACACTCGGGACAGTGAGACGGGCGGCATATGAATTTAATGAATAAATAAAGTTACCATATTTTTTGGAGTATAAGACGCTCTGGACTATAAGACGCACCTACCTTTTTTGGTGAGGAAAACAAGAAAAATAAATCTGCCTCCCAGCAATTTTGCCTCCTTGCAGCAAACAGCAAAAAGCCTGCTTTACTTTCATTTTCGTTTTCAGCATAGCTTGATTTGCACAAGAAAAAAAAAATCTGCTCCCAGCAATTTACCTCCTTGCAGCAAGCAGCAGAGGCCTGCACAAAACAGCTGAGAGTTGGGAGGCTGAGCCAATCAACTTGTGCTAATTTATTTATTTATTTATTTAATTAGCTATATTTCTATGCCACCCACTCTCTGAAGACTCTAATTAGGCTGGGCTGAAGCTGAAACGAGCTGTTTCTTCTTGCTGCTTGCTGTAGGGGGGTAAACTGCTGGGAGGCAGAGGCCAAAGGGTGGAGGCCAGTGGGTGGGCGGGGCTACATTTGGTGTAGAAGACGCACCTAAATTTTCACCCCTTTTTAGGGGGGAAGTTGTTTGGACAGAAGATATGTGTAAAAAAGAAGCTCAGATTAAGCAGAATCAGAGTGGTAAATGGGAGACTCCCACAATGGAGCGTCTCTGGGAAGCCCTTCCTCCTCTTCTCAGCCACCAGAAAACGCCTTGAGGAGGGGACAGAGTTAGGGAGGGAAGGAAGGGGCCACTCAGTGTTGTTATGGCAGGTTAAGGCCGAGCAGGCTCATTCCCCCAAACTGCATTTCTGGGCACAGGATGGGGCTTTTCTGCACTGCATGCAGGGGGAAACCAGCAGGAAATGAAACTGGTTGGAAAAAGTAGCTTTTTGCCTTTGAACCCTTCCCTCCACTGGGTGGGGGGGGGGGGGAATTTGCCTGGGCCACGATTCCTGTGCCTGCTTGCCTGGAGAGCAATTGCCAGTTGCTTCTCTTCAGAGTCTTATAAGAATGCGTAATTTCTGAAAGACAGAAGGCTGCTTATAAAATTAAAGCCCAGCCAACAGCTTTGCATTCCGGCTCCTCTGGCACCGATGCTCGGGAAACAGAGTGGCTCTCTTGGCTGCCTCACCCAGGAAAGGCCCCTGCTTTCAATCTGGGCACCAACAAGCTTTGACTGCTATTTTCTTCTTCTTTTTCTAAAAGAGCTACTAGGCTTTTCACAGCTGGTAGACCGTTTTGGCAATTAAAAAGAAAGAACAAATTGGTTATCATGTGATATGGGAAACATTTTATCGATGGTTAGAGGACAAATAATAAAAATTAGAAATAAAAGTAGATGAGTAAAATATAGAAAACAGTTAATAGGAGTTAAGCAAATTAAGAAGAGGATGTAAAGTCACTCACTCTACCTGATCCTGTTGTTAGTCTCGCTAACCCCCATACCTTTTACCTTAAACTGTCTACTGTGGACCTTTCATGTTTCTTCAGAGGTCCCTAAGGGGGCGAGCATAAGCGCACCAGCGTGCCTACCGTCCCTGTCCCACTGTCCCCATTTATATGTACTCATTCTATGTATCTATGGCTATGTTTTGCCTATTTATATCCATTTATTTGTGCCAATTTTTTTTGGTCATGTGTCCATGTCTATGCTGTTACTTGTTTCCTTATATTTGTTGACAAATCAATCAATCAATCAATCAATCAATCAATAAAGTAAGTAAGTAAGTATTAGATATTTAATGTATTGGTATTAAGCTAAGAATATATTAAATAGTGAATATGATTGTAAATTTTAACTGTTATTGCACAAACATTTGTACCCAGATGACACACAGTTTAATGGAAGATGGATTTTATATATATATATAAAAATATGTCGCTTGAGGTTGGAGGGCTTAGAAGCATGGGCCAAGCACCAGCCATCCTCCAGGGCTCAGTGCCTGCACTCTACCACAACTGCCTGCCCACCCGGAGCCTGGCTGGGTATCGGAGCACATTCAACCAGGGTTCAGAATGTTGCACTGGCTGATCTGCAGGGACAACGGACTTGGGCAGGAGAGGACCGGCTTGGTCAGCAAAGGAAGAAGCACCCAAGGAGCCGGGCAGAAGCCCTTGGATCACACACCTCCTCTGGAGTAGGCAAGGAGGCAGCGCCACAGCTTGCAAGCTGCAATCAAGGAACTGCAATGGGAAGGCTCTGCTTGATGTCCTCGGGTTGAAGAAATGGGAAGAGGTTTGGGCCTTGTCACGCAGAGCTGCAGAGTCCACCTAAAACAATCCAGGTGGAGGAAAGGCCTCCTTGGAGACTCCAAAAGGCTCAGTGCAGGCATGTCAGATCTGCCATCGCAAATGCTTCAGCCTGCTTCGCTTTGCTGGCATCCTGCCATAAATTGGGGGGGGGAGGGGAATGTAAGGGGGAGGGATGACAGGAACCAGGGGTGCCAGTCCAGAACAGCCCAGGCATCCAAGGACATGAGTGCAAGAACAGAATGCGAAACTATACCTAAGAGGCAACTTAAGACTGTTACCAAAACACGAAATTTGAATACTATTGGGACACTTATGGTTAAGGGGGCAGGCCTCGGGAGAGGGGAAAATCACTGGGTTTATATGGGAATATTCAGATCTGGCTTTGCCTATGCTGTAACCACTTGGCTTTAGTAAAAGTATACCTTTCGCTACAAATGGGAGTCGAGGGTCTTTCTTTCCTAAATGCCAAGTTGGGACAGGCCTGACACCTAGACAGAGACTTTCATTCTGAGTGGGGAGGGGTGTGTTTTCCACTGTCAAATTAATTTGGCTACAGGTTGCTGGGTTTTGAGCAGCCAACCCTCCCGCCCCCTCCGCCACGACTTGCCTTCCTTGGATGCCGGGGGGCGGGGCCAAGAGCATCACCTCAGAGTTTCTGGCGGTCTTGGGATTGAGCGCGACAATCTGGAAGGCGGGGTTCCCAGGCTGCTGGCTGTCTTTGGTGTGTGGGTGGCTGAAGACCAGGAAGAGGAGGCCCTGATCCGCAAGACAGAAAACACCCAGGGGGACATCAGCTCTGCCACCGGTCAGGTAAGCACAGGATGCTTCAGATACACATTCACAGGGTGGCTCATAACAACACTGAGCCTGGGGCTGCACAAAGGGGGTTCGGCAGGTGAGAGGAGGCCAGTTATAAACTCAGGATACTTTCTGAACATCCTCCCCACCCCACCCCCCGATTTTTTTTTTCATGTGCCTTCAGGCAACTTTTTGCCAAGTTTTTCAGAAATGGTTGCCGTTTTCTTCTCCTTCCTGGGTCTGAGAAGTGCGGACTGGGACAAAGTCCTCTTCATCTATCAGGCAGGACTAGAATTCAGAGCCCCCCTGTTTCTAGGCCAGTGCCTTTAACCACTACACCAAACTGCCTCTCAATTATCTCTTGGTCAACAGATTCAATAAGATGATGATTTACTGGTTCAGACACTGAATGCATCAGTTATATGAAGTCAACCTTCTCTGCTTCTGGCTTCTCTATGCAGAGGCTGATACATACAATATATCCCCATAGAGCCTTGGTAGTACAGTGATCTAAAGCACCCTGTTATTAAGACCAGCTGCCTGCAATTACAGCAGGTTCGAATCTCGCCAGGCTCAAGGTTGACTCAGCCTTCCATCCTTTCTAAGGTAGGTAAATTGAGGACCCAGTTGTGGGGGCAATAAGCTGACTTTGTATAAATATACAATACGATGAAGGCTATTGCTTAGCGCATTGTAAGCCGCCCTGAGTCTCCGGAGAAGGGCGGCATATAAATCAAATAAAAAAAAAAAGTGCTTTACAGCTCTCTCTGGGCAGTCTACAATGTCAGCATTATTTGCATACTGCCCCCCAAAATCTGGGTTCTCATTTTACCGACCTTGGAAGGATGGAAGGCTGAGTCAACCTTAAGCCCCATCAGGATTGAACTTCAGGCGGTGGGCAGAGCTTGCCTGCAATACTGCATTCCAACCACTGCGCTACCAGGGCTCCACTGCACATACCAGAATTTAAAAGCAATCTCCCCAAATACATAATTAATCTTAAAACCCTGAACTTCCCTACCTCTAGGAAATCAACTCAAAACATTTATGACATCCAAATATCTACAGTCGGGGGGAAATCTGACAAATGAAAAAAGACCCCCCCAAATGCTTCCTGCCTGGCATTGTCCAATACCCCTGACATGACCCCCGGCGACAAATGAATAGTGATCAATGATAATCTCTTTGGCTATGAATTTAATTATAAAAATAATCAATAGGAAAGTCTACGCAATGCTTATCAACGTGACTCTCAGAGAAATCAAAGTCCTGCCCAAGGGATTTCTCTTCTCCCTAGAGCAGTGTTTCTCAACCGTGGCCGCTGGGTGGACTTCAACTCCCAGAATTCCCCGGTTGAAGTCCACACATCATCCAGCGGCCAAGGTTGAGAAACACTGCCCTAGAGAGATGCCAGCCTCTCAGTACAGGCAGTCCTTGTCTTACAACCACAAGCCCAAAATTTATGTTGTTAAGTGGGTCATTTAATGACTTTCCTTGCCACATTTGTTAAGTGAATCACTGCAGTTCTTAAATGATTAACCCGGTTATTAAGTGAATCTGGCTTCCTCGTTGACTTTGCTTGTCAGAAGCTCGTAAATGGGGATCATGTGACCCCGGGACACCACAACCGTCATAAATGTGAGTTAGTTACCAAGCAGCCGAATTGTGTGACCATGGGGATGCTCTAAAGGTCCCAAGTGGGACCCGGTTTGTGGGGACAATAAGCTGACTTTGTATAAAAAAGAACACCGCTTTGGAGGGGGGGGGTGTTTGTGTGAAAGCCCTACTAAGCAGGTATATACAAAAGTATGAAGGCTATTGCTTAACGCATTGTAAGACGCCCTGAGTCTCCGGAGAAGGGCGGCATATAAATCGAACCAATAAATAAATAAATAAATAAATAAATAAATAAATAAATAAATAAATAAATAAATAAATAAGTGTGAAAAATGGTCTAAGTCACTTTTTTCAGTGCCGTTGTAACTTCGAACGGTCACTAAACGAATGGTTGTAAGTCGAGGACTACCTGCACTTCCCAAAGGAGAAGCACCTCCTCCTCATCCAAGCTCCTGCAAATGCAGACCCCACGTTCTCGTTCCTGCCTCACCGGTGCTCTCGGGGGGGAAACCAAAGCCAGGGCTGCAAAGCTGACCTGCAGGAAGGCCACAAGCCCTCCAGGGGCTTTTCCTGCCTCTCCCAGAGAGGACCCGGAGGTACCTACCGAATCGGAGTAGGCCTTGTGGCAGACGGACGCAGGGAAGGACCATCCCACCCGGATCTTCTTCAGCAACTGCCCGGTTCCCAGGTTCCTGTGCAAGGCAAAAAGTCCACCATAAGCTCAGCCCTGGAGGAGATCCTGGCAGCAGGGATTCAGGTCCCTTCAGCTGCCTGGCCAGGACGAGCCCAGCAGAGACCGGAGAAGAGAGCCTGCTAGGCAGAATATTGATCAAAGAAGCAATCCTGATAAATCAGTGTTTCTCGAAGAAAGAAGCTGCCGTCACAGCGGAGCGAAGTGGGGAAACCAGTGGCAGTTTCCTGCTCTCTCCTGCACTAAGTCTTTTTTCCAGGTAAAGCAGAGAGAGGGCACCAGCTGTGCACAAAAAGGTGTATGGCATCAGCTAGCAGCTGCTACAGAGGGAGGATCACCCTGAATCTCCATCTGTCATCAGAAAAAACAGGTGTCAGGTTTGCCATCTTCAGCTTCTTCGCTTTGCTGACATCCTGCCATAAAGCACGGGAGAGGAGGGAAGGAATTTGCGGAAATAAAGTTAGAGCATGGGAATAGGAAGACAAATGGGGGGGGGGGGAGGTGAGAGGGAGACAGGCTGATGAAAACCAGAGGTGCCAAACCAGAATAAACCAGCCTGGGAATAGACACCAAAATTATATCAAGAGGCGCCAAGCAGTTCTCAAAACATCAAATTATTGGACACTGATGGGACTGGTCGGTGCAGGGGGGAGGGGGGAGAGGGAGCAGGGAAAGGGGAGAAAATGTGACCTTTGTGCAGGAATGCTCAGATCTAGCTTTACTTTTGCTGCAACCACTTTAGTAAAAGGACCTTATCACTTCAACCAAATGGAATTGAGGGTCTTTCTTTCCTAAATGTCTAAGTTAGGGCAGGTCTGACACCAGGAAGGAAGGCCGAGTCTCTCAGATCCAATTGTGAGCATTTCTGGCATCCCAAACAAACCTGCGGGCAATACAGAATGTCAGATGGACGCTCTCAAGACATTCCGTATATCGAGGTAGTTGCAGGGATTCCAGTAAATATGTTCAAGTTCTCTTCATTTTTAATATGAATGAATCAAATTAGACATTCCTAATTCATTTCTCCCTCTGTATTGAAATGGAATTTAAAAACTCATTTGATTCAGCACAAATTATTTGTTCATATCTGCTGGAGTCTTCCAAGGATTTTCAAAAAAAAGGTGAGCTGTCATCGTAGATGTTTGCCGCAGATGTTATGGCTGTACTTGGTGAAAGTTCCTTGTTGGTTAGAACACAGAATCCCAGGGCTGGAAGAGACCTTTGAGGTCATCTAGTTCAACCCCCTGCCCAAGGCAGGAGCCTTACAGCATCCTGGATGAAGGGCTGACCAATTTCTTCTCGGAAACCTCCAGTGATGGAGCACTCACAACTCCAGGAAGCAAGTTACCGTATTTTTCGGAGTATAAGATGCACCGGACTATAAGATGCACCTATCTTTTTTGGTGAGGAAAACAAGAAAAAGAAATCTGCCTCCCAGCAATTTTGCCTCCTTGCAGCAAGCAGCCTGCTTTACTTTCATTTTCGTTTTCAGCATAGCTTGATTAGCACAAGAAAAATAAAATCTGCTCCCAGCAATTTACCCCCTTGCAGCAAGCAGCAGAGGTCCCCACAAAACAGCTGAGAGTCAGGAGGCTGATTCAATCAACTTGTGCTAATTAGGCTGTGCTGAACCTGAAAGGAGCTGTTTCTTCTTGCTGCTTGCTGCAAGGAGGTAACTGCTGGGAGGCAGAGGCCAAAAGGTGGATGCCAGTGGGTGGGCGGGGCTACATTCGGTGTAAAAGACACACCTAAATTTTCACCCCCTTTTAGGGGAGAAAAAGGTGCGCCTTATACTCCAAAAAATACAGTAGATATTATTGCTGTTATGAATTAGGTTCTAGGAAGGAAGTTAAGATCCTCACACTCTCCTATGCACTGCTAAACTAAAAATGGAGCTTTCTAATTTTGAATTTTTTTAAAAAGTTTTTTTATTAGTAGTTCAAAATTAAAAACATTGGACATAGATATGACATCACTGGTCCCAAGCACCTTCCAACACTTTAAGTTCATAACTTAATATTATTATACTATGTTTTAAAAATGCATAAGGTGTAAGGAATATATTATTATATTATCATTAGAATATTATGAAATTTGATAAATAGGGGTAACAGTATACTTCTGGAAATATGAATCAGATGTTTATTTTGGTTCAATGGAGCATGTCAACTCTTCAAATACTGAGTTTCAACTGAGAGGCAAGGCTGGACAGGGCAATATTTAGCTCTGCATGGTCTCAGCCTAAGCTGTAAAGGTAAAGGTTCCCCTCACACATATGTGCTAGTCGGTCCCGACTCTAGGGGGCGGGGCTCATCTCAGTTTCTAAGCTGAACTGTCCAAAGACGTCTCCGTGGTCATGTGGCCGGCATAACTAAACGCCAAAGGCCCATGGAACATTGTTACCTTCCCACCAAAGGTGGTTCCTATTTTTCTACTTGCATTTTTGACGTGCTTTCGAACTACTAGGTTGGCAGAAGCTGGGACAAGTAACGGGAGCTCACCCCATTATGTGGCACTTGGGATTCGAACCGCTGAACTGCCGACCTTTCAATCGACAAGCTCAGCGTCTTAGCCACTGAGCCACCATGTCCCTTTTTATGTATGTATGTATGTATGTATGTATGTATGTATGTATGTATGTATACATAATTAAAACTTTTGTACTTGAGATATTAGAGTTTTTCTGAACATCTTTTTTCCAATTATTTCACTCCTCCGCCCCTTTCAGTTAGTTTTCCATTTTTCCATTTATGCACTGAGCATTTTTTTGCAATAGCAATATAGTTTATACATACGTTTTTATGTGTTATCTATAGTAACGTCTTTGTTGAACTGAGTCAGAATTTTAAGGAGGAAAAATAGTTGGGCCTGAGGAAAGTTCTGCGGAGCAGCCTGTGGGCTCACCAGAGCACGATGCAGTTCATGGCGGTCATTCCAAGCAAAGCCTCCTGCAGTCCAGCCACATCGGCAAAAGCCAAGACGGTCTCTTTCGGGGACATCAAAGCCCAGCTCCTATGGCTCCTGCAACACATACAGGCTCTCCTGATTTTCAGAGCCTCTTTGTAGGATGGAAAATGAGTAGAGTAGAGAGTAGAGAGCAAGAGTAGAGTACAGTAGAGTAGAGTACTAGTATAGTACAGAGTAGGGTAGAGTAGAGTGGAATATTTAGAATAGAATAGAATAGAATAGAATAGAATAGAATAGAATAGAATAGAACAGAACAGAACAGAACAGAACAGAACAGAATAGGACATGGCATAGGACCCGGGTACCTCCGAGACCGTCTTCTGCCACCAATAGCCTCCCACCGACCAGTCCGTTCCCACAGGGAGGGTCTCCTCAGGGTGCCGTCAACCAAGTTATGTCGACTGGCGGCGCCCAGGGGGAGGGCCTTCTCTGTGGGAGCCCCATCCCTGTGGAACGAACTGCCCCCGGAAATTCGTAAGATCTCCGACCTCCGGGCGTTTCGCTGCGCACTGAAGACCCTATTATTCCGCCAGGCCGGACTAACAACACAATAGTTTTTAAATTGGGATATTTAAATTTATTGGGGTTTTAAATCTGAGCCACTTTATTTAATTATTTTAAATTTTATATTGTTGTTTTGTTTGTGTTTTTTAAACAGGCTGTACACCGCCCTGAGTCCTTCGGGAGAAGGGCGGTATAGAAATAAAATTATTATTATTATTATTATTATTATTATTATTAATAGAATAGAATAGAATAGAAAATAGAATAGAAAATAGAATGGGATAGGATAGGGTAGGGTAGGGTAGGATAGGATAGAATAATAGAATAAAATAGAATAGAAAATAGAATGGGATAGAATAGGATAGGATAGGATAGAAAACTCTATTGGCCAAATGTGATTGGACACATAAAGAATTTGTCTTCAGTGCAAAAGCTCTCGGTGTACATACAAACAACAAAGTGATAAGTCATAGATCATAAATCATAAGATACAATCGTAATTCATAAGATACAAACAAGTGATGAATCATAATCAATAGGAGACGGTAGTAAGAAAGAGGAGAAGGATAATAGCAATAGAGCCCTACTACATGGGTAAGTGTCTTCAGGCACAGGGCAGTGCTGAGGGAGTTAGGTGTTTAGCAGAGCGATGGCGTGAGGGAAGAGATCATCCAAGCCCACCTCTTGTGGCTCCTGCAAAACCAACAGTTTCTCCTGATTTCCAGCACTATAGCGTGGAAAATGAACTCACTGCCAACGTGCTCAGAACGAGTATTACCCGCCTGCACCCTTGTCCAGATCAAATCCGGAGTTCCATTTCTTTCCCTGCTGTATTGATTTTGTCTATTTCTTAGAGTCTTCCCCAAGAGCTTTACCATAGTCCTTCCTCACCTTCCCATCTCAGAGAAAGAAAAGACTTCCACTTCTTGGCCTTGCAGGGACCAACCGCTGCTGACCAGCTTCCTATCGGTCAGACCGAGAACGGCGTTTATGTTTCCAGCTTTGAGCAGCTCCTCTTTAGCACAGCCGTCTTCAGAAGAATGGAGCAAAAGCCTGGAAGAACAGAAGTCTGCTATGATCTGGGGTCTACTTACCATGCAACAACAAAACCAGTCAACAAGCGGTTATCAATTACAGCAATGCAGGAAAGCTCTAAGATGGGAGTAATACACTAATAAAAATACCAACATGCCAGAGGTGAAATCCAGCAGGTTCTGGAGAACCGGTAGCAGAAATTTTGAGCAGTTCAGAGAACCGGCAAATACCACTTCTGGCTGGCCCCCGAGTGGGGTGGGAATATCCTTCTCCCAGGAGTTGGGAGGGAATGGGGATTTTGCAGTATCCTTCCCTTGTCACGCCCACCAAGCCACGCCCACAGAACCAGTAGTAAAAAAATTTGGAGTTTACCACTGTAACATGCTATTGTGAAATAAAAACAAACTGTGGAATTTGCCCGTCAAAGGTTTCCCATCTGCAACGCTGAATCTATAAATGGCAAATTTTGGACACTGCACTTTCAATAAGATTACAGGGATTACAGAAATCAGGAAATGCCAAATGTCTCGTTCTGCCACCAAGGGCGCCCACCAGCTTGGGGTGAGGGAGCATCAATATGCTGACCATGTCCAGTTGTACTTCTCCACCCCAGGCCAAGCAGAGACACAGCAGGAGTCCCGTCCTGGTACATGGAGGGAGATGTTTGGTTCTGGGTGGGGAGAGATGGGCTCAGATCCAACAGCAGCAAGAGGCCAGAAGCTACCTGATTATTCCAGGATTGAGTCCTCTTTGATTCCCGAGAGGGTCGAGATTGGAGGGTCTTCTGAGACCCCTTTTCTCAAGGAGGGGATGGAGGCTGTGGCCAGAAGCCTTTGCTACATTTTGAGGCTGATCTGGAATGGGGTGTTTATTAGTTCGATTTATTTATTTATTTTATTAGTTCAATTTATATGCTGCCCTTCTCCGGAGACTTACAATGCATTAAGCAATAGCCTTCATACTTTTGTATAGACCTGCTTAGTAGGGCTTTTTGCCCCCCCCCCCCAGCGGTGTTCTTTTTTATATAAAGTCAGCTTATTGCCCCCACAAACCGGGTCCTCATTTTACCTACCTCGGAAGGATGGAAGGCTGAGTCAACCTTGAGCCTGGTGAGAATTGAACTCGCAGTAATTGTAGGCAGCTGGCAGCTAAGTACTACTTTAACAGTAGTTTAGTCTGCTGCACCACCAAGGCTCTTTTCCAAGGACATTCGTTCATGTCCTTCTGATCTCTCCATGCCCAACCCCCTCCCCCCACCCCATAGATGGTCAGCAAGAGCCTGCTTAGCAGCAGGTGCAACAGAACACCCAGCAAGGTGATGCTTTCCACAGAGGCTCCCCTGCTGTGGAAGAGTCTTATCCTCTAGGCAGTGACAACTTTATCAGGATGCAAAAAGAAAAATAATCTGCTGCGAACTCCACATAAGTGTCAGGAAGGGCATCCAGCCAGTAAATTCTCAGCTCTGTTCAATCGCCCCGACTCCACCCCAATAAAAATGGATTACAGGGTCAGAAAAAAGGGAGAACAATGTAACTATCGTTATTTCCTTTAATATTTGTGGTAGGAATGAGCTGGAGGAAAATTTGTAGAATTTGCAGAAACAAAATCACGGAAACTTCAGGTGCTTTCTCTTGTGCAAAGGGTCACATCTGTTAAATGCAACGTTGTATACAGTTGCTTGAAATACACAAAAGCAGCAAACTGCTCCTAGGGGGCATTAGACTTAATGGCCTGATTTGGTTCAAGGAAAAAAAATCTTGGCAAACCAAATTTTGGTGTTACTCTGAGAATGAAAGCCCGCAGCATTATAAGGACCTCAGGGTTCATTAGACTCTGTTGCTGAAATGCATAATCAGTCTCAAAAGTTTTATTAGTTTATATAAAAAATGAAAACTACAAATGAAAATGATGGGAAAATAGGGGAGGAAAAGGGGAAGAGAAAAATGTAGGAGAAAGGGAGAAAACAAAGTTCTGATGGCCGACTCCTTTTGGTGCAGTAGAATAAGATAATAGCATCAAACCTCAACTTTTTACCTTTATATAACAAGAGTGTCATTCCTATAACCACAAACCTATCTCATCGGCAAAACCCAAAATCAAAGTTTCATTTTTTTCCACCTGAAGCACGAAGTGCAAAAGCGGTTTCCAAGCAGAAACAAAGTTAATTGTGTCCTTTAATCAGAGCCGTCGATTTTGCCACCTCTGCAAACTCTGTCAAGCTAAAATGCATAATCCACACATACCTTATCTCGGCTGTCTCCAGGCGCCCCAGCACTGCGCACACCACGCTGTGAGCCCCCGACAGGGGAACTATTTGGAGAACTGGAAGCTGGAAAAGAGAGCAGCAGGATCGACAGCCCTTCCCTTCCGAGCCAGACCTCCCCCCTCCTCCCCCGGCAAAGCCCAAATACAGAAAGTAGCAGCGGGACCCTCGACCCGCCACCCTTCCTAGCACTACACACAGACACAGCAGCTTTGAGTGTTCCGGTTAGGGCAGGGGTCTGCAACCTTAAGCACTCAAAGAGCCATTTGGACCTGTTTCCCACAGAAAACAAAACACCGGGAGCCACAAAACCTGGATGGGCGGGGCCAACTCAATGTCACTCACTTCCACCAGTCACATGACACCCCCCCAGCCACACCTACCCAGCCGATCATTAGGGCAGAGAACCAGTTGTTAAAAAACACCGGGAACCATAAAATCCTTTTAACATATCTCTCTCTCCCCTCTCTCTGTCTCTGTCTCTGTCTCTGCCCTGGCCCCTTCTCCATCCCCCGCTGTCACCCTTACCTTCTCAGGCCAGGCGAGGAGTGACTGGGAGGGGAAGGTGAGGGGTGAGGCCAGACAGTGGTGGGATCACCCAATAGGGAGCCACAGCAGAGGGCCCAAAGAGCCGCATGTGGCTCCGGAGCTGCAGGCTGCTGACCCCTGGGTTAGGGCCATAACAAGGCAATACAGGTAGTCCTCGATTTACAACCACAATCAAGCCCAAAATTTGTGTTGCTAAGCGAAACATTTGTTAAGTGAGCTTGGCCCCATTTTACGACCTTTCTTGCCACAGATGTTAAGTGAATCACTGCAGCTGTTAAGTTAGTATTACGTTTGTTAAGTGAATCTGGCTTCCCCATTGATTTTGCTGGTCAGAAGGTCGCAAAAGCGAATCACATGACCCTGGGACCCCGCAAGCAGTTGCAAGCGTCTGAATTTTGATCACGTGACCAAGCAAATGTTGTAAGTGTGAAAAACGGCCATAAGTCACTTTTTTCAGTGCTGTTTTGCAACTTTGAACATGAATGAACTGTTGTAAGTCGAGGAATACCTGTATCCAGATGATCACAAGGACCCACTCCAGGTAGGTGGATGCCTGGTTCTCACGCAGGCACTCACAGTGGGGTCTACCTGTAAACCGGTTTGTTCTTCACACCTCGCTCAGGGTGGCTTCCTCCTCCCCTGCTCACTCCCAGAGCTTCTCTCAGGCAGCCCAATCTGCAGAGTCCGAAGGAGGTGACCTGTCCTGACCTAGGCTTCCCAAGAGCAGGAAGCAGGCTCCTCGTCCCGACAAAAACCCCTTTTTATTAAGTTACTGTGAATTCCTCTCACTCACGTCCAGCAACGTCTTTCAAGAGAGAATTTATAGTCACAGACCTTATCTGGCTTGCAGAGCTGCCAAGGCGTTATCTTCAAAACTTGGCAAGGAATCATGAACCAATTAAGGGAACTAATTGTCTCCTGCAAACTCCACTCCTCTTTCGCTCCACTTTTATTCCCTCTGGGAGGGCCCTTCATGGTCCACCTGTGCCCTTCCTCCCAAGTCGATCCTTGTTCCTTAGCTGTTCCCTTCCTCTGGCAACTCTGCCTATGCGCATACTGAGAACAGGTTCCAGCTGTTCTTCTGCCCCACTGATGTCCGACTCAACTGTCAGACGGCCCTGGCCCCCTCTCTGCCTCTGACGCACAGCAGCCATCAGAGCCTTCCCCAGACTCCAGGACTGGCCCATGATCCTCCCCAACCTCCTCCTCACTGTCCGAGTCTGCCACCAGCTCCGCTGGCAGGCCACAACTTGACCAAGGTCCAGCTCTCAGCAGTTAAAGCCAAGAACTGCATGTTGGGTTTAGGGTTAGTTTTTCCCATTCATTTATATAAAACAATGTAATTTTATTATAGAATAATACAAAACTAGTTTGTACTTTTTTTTAGCATCAGACACTTTATAAAAACACAAAGCAATGCAGCATTATTGCATATGATATTTTTATATCATGCATGTTATATTGTCAGGACATCTATTTTAAGCTTATGGCTTCTAGCCGTAATAAAAAGAAACCATTCACAGAGTCAAGCCCTGGAGACCTTAAACCCTGCACACCTAGGCAAGCAAACACCCACAATTTTGGCAATAGGGAGGCAGTGCCAAATCTTTCACCAGTCTTCAAGTTGAAAAGACTGCAGCTGGGGGGAGGGAGGGAGAGGAAAGAGACACCCACCAGCAACAGGTGCAGGCTGGCACCATCCTCCGACAGCCGAAGAAGCATCGGCCTCACTTACCTTTGTAAAGGGCCAGGTGTGCACCATCCCCCACTGGCCAAGTTCCAGAGGCCTCCACAGAGAAATGGACATTTCCTCGGCCGTCACAACGCACAATTCTGCGAAGTCAGCAGCTTCCCACCACACAGCGCTCATGTCCACCAAGCAGGAGCCGGAGCCGTTCTGAGGGAGAGCGGGAGGACGCAGGGTTATTCGGAGGAGCTGGGGCCGGCAAGAGCCAACCGGATGTACGGGGCCAGAGCATCCTGCATGGTGCAGCCCAGTGTCTCCCCCCCCCCCCCCCGATTTTACCCCCCCGCGCTCTCGTGAAGGTCCTGCCTCACCAGAAGGACCCAACCCGCTTGGCCTTCTTGTTCTGGCCTCCTTGGAGGTTTTGAATTCTGCCACGGAGCAGCTGCCCTGCCTTGAACATCCTTTTGTGGCCTGTGTTTCATGAGACTTTACAGGGAGTTCCCCACCTTACGACCAGTCACTTAGAGACTGACTGAATTTACAATGGACCTCACAAGGGGTACTTATGTCCCAGATTCAAAGATGGTCATGTGATCCCATTTTGGCCACTTGGTCCCTGGCCTGCATTTACGTCCATTTGCAGCATCCAACAGTCACACAACCACAAATTGACTTTTTTTTCTTTCTTTCTGGGAACTGGGCTTTGCTTCTGATTTCTGGCAAAAACGCACACATTGCGGACAGCGGATTCACTTAAAGATCGCAGAATTGGATTAACGACTGCTGGGTTCGTTTTACTTAACGACCCATTGCAAAAACTGTCATAAAATCAGGTTGGCCGCATGGGTGCTTCAACTTCTGACCATCATGATATCTGATGGAAATTCTATGCATTTTATGGGAAGGGGGAAGCATGTAAATGAACATAATAAATAAGCCAACAGATGATTACTAGCTGACAAGCAGGCTTCCTTGGTAGCAGGAAAGGTCCCTGCAGCTGCGCCTAGAAGCCATTGGTCCCCACTGGCACTGGGGGTCCTGCGGCAGCTCCAGCCTTGCCTGAAGCCAAAACTTCTGTCCCCCCCCCAGCCCCCAGGGAGAACCTGGCCAGCAAGAACTGCAGAACCCACTCAGCCCCCGTTTCCCTTCTGCGCCTGCCACAGGGCGATCCCATCACAGGACCAAGGAAGGGCTGGGCTGCTGCTGGAAAGTGCCCCAGTTAGCCAAATGCCCACTCGGCTGCCACAGTGCCAGCCCAGTCAAAGCCACAGCAAGCTACAGGTAGAACCCAGCACCATCCCAGAGGCTCCGTCTTCAAGAGGAAACCCCTTCCTTCCCCCAGGGCAGGATGGGTGCCACAAACGCTCCATTATCAGGGTGACCCTGGGTTTCTAACGATACCAAAATGCTGGAGAATTTTTAACCATTTTTCTCCCTTAACCTTCAGTTTTGAAGTCATTTTCAAGCTGCCTTCTCTCGGAGTGCCTGCTGGTGCCTCCCCCTGGACCTCCTCTTCTGCTGGGCCAGTCTGTGGAGAGAAATGGCAAGAGATGATGCCCCAGTCAGTTCACACTCCCGCGGTGCCCTTTCGGAAGCAGCTGCACCCTGGAACGCGGCTCCCTCCACACCCGCACGGGGAGACCAGACTCCCTCACCAGAGGGTCGTTTCTTCATTTGGGGCTGATGGAAAAAAAGGTGGCAGGCAGTAAAGTTCACCAACTGAACTCAATTCCTCGGAAAGGCAAGACCAGAATACTTTGAGCCGCAGCATCTGCTACCCTAAAACACACTTTGCGCAGAGAAGCCAGGCCGTTTCCCAAATTAAAACTCTTCGGCTTGGGTCAAGGAGTTCTAAAATGCCAGCCGGTGATTCGCCTGCTCCAAGGGGTCAGTTTGTTGGACAAAAATGCAGTCGACAAAGTCAGGGTGACGGCCACTGGCCATCGCAAAAGCACGGAGTCCAGGGCCCAGAAGGAGAGTAAAATTTACAAACTGAGAAATAAGCCAGAGCGGAATGACTGACCAAGCGGCCATTGGGACAAAGGAACGGGAAAACTGAGGCCAGAAGGGAGAGAAAGAGAGAAAAAGGAATGACCTTCTGTAAGGGTGGGGGAGCAGCCAAGGAGGGTGCAAGGAGACATCCTCCACAGCAGGGGTCTCCAACCATGGCGACTTTAAGACTTGTGGGACTTCAACGCCCAGAATTCCTCAGTCAGCTATGCTATGCTGGCTAAGGAATTCTGGGAGTTGAAGTCCACACGTTTCAAAGTTGCCAAGGTTGGAGACCCCTGCAAGTCCACAGCATATAAAGATTTTCATTGCAGCCCTCTTTGCATTCCCCAAGGTGGTTGTCTCCCCTCAGCTACCTGGGTCTCCCAAATGCACCCCTTTACCTGCCTGGGGGGGCTCCTTGTCACGCTCAGGTGGCTTCTCCGATGAGCTGGCGGCTTTTCCCCTGGCCTTCCTATCGATTCCAGCTGGGCCCGGCAAGTGAGGCTGCCCCATGCCCCTTCCTGGGTCAGGAGACACTGCCGCAGCTGCTTGCAAAGGAGAGGCCCCAAGGGCGCCTGGAGAGGACTCCAGGGGAGCTGGGGTTGCCCCCACCAGGGGAAAATCGGGGGTTTGCAAAAGGCTCTGTACACCGTCCAAACCTGGGGAGAGGAGCAGCTCACGGGAAGAAAGAGCCGAGGGGACCCCCCTCATTCCAGACAGGAGGCTTTGAGGACCCTCCCCAGGTGAGCTCGTAGGACCCTCGCTGGATCCCCCAGCATCCCAGACCCCCAACGGCTTCTCAGGGCAGACTTTGAGCTTCTTGGACTTCAGGTGGCCGAAATCCTCATCGGGCAGGTGGAACTCTTGGTGCGGCAGGCCAGGAGGCAGCCAGCCGAGGCGGGACCCCTCCCCACCCGGGGGGACGAGAGACAACACCGCAGAGGCAGAATTCTCCACCATCCTGACCGCAGGGGAAGCCGGACCCGGGAACCCCCCTGGCGGGCTGCGTCCTTTGTCTGCAAATGTGGGACAAACAAAAGAACCTTGCAAGACACAAACCTCAATTTCTGAGCCCCCAAAGAATTGACTTCAAAGGCCGCCCCTTCCATCTCTGCAACTCCTACGGAGACAGGAGGGTGGCCCGTCCCCCCAGGCCTCCGAAAACCCTCGGCTCAGAGGCCCACTTGGTCTTTGAATGACGCCTAAGGCTGGTGTGCTGCATGTGCCTTTATTTTCAACTATAAGCTGACTACCATATTTTTCAAAGTATAAGATGCACCTTAGTTTTTGGGGAGGAAAATAAGAAAAAAGCTGATTGGTGGGTGGATCGGAGTCTCCGAATACTCCCAATCAGTGTTCCCAGAGGTGAATTTTAGCAACAGGTTCCTTGGTTGTGAGCAACGTGCCTTGCTTTTTTTTTTCTGCCTTTGAAACTTCTGAAACTCTGTTTCAGAAAAAAACTTTTTTTCCTACTTCTGAAAGCCTCCGAAAGAGCTTCAGGAAAAAAGCCTCTGAAGCTCTGTTTGGGGGCTTCTTTTCTGAAGCTTCTTTCAGAGGCTTCTTTCAGCCTCTGAAATCTCCATTTGCAAGGCTGAGCGGGGCTACGTTCGCAGTATAAGACGCACCCAGATTTTCACCCTCTTTTTTGGGGGGAAAAGGTGCGTGTTATATTCCGAAAAATACGGTACTTTTCATTCCACCTCCCAATATACACCCCGCCCCAGAAAGAGTCCTGGGAGATTAGGCTCCCTTTAGCCTGCCTGGGAGGTTCTGCCCTCGGCACAAGGGGGCTCTTGCTCTCCACCCGACCCAGAGTAAGCCCTGCAGGAAGGCCGCCTGGGACGTGCTGTGGGGGGACCCCCTTGCCTTGCATCTCAGGGAGGCCACCGGGGTCTCCAAGGGGGAAAAGGCCTCACCCTGCAAGACCAGCCAGGGGAATCCCCAGTCTGCTCAGGAGGCTCCCCTGCAGAGAGACACCGTTCCCCACCACCTCCCGGGCATCTCCCACTGCTGGGTAAAGAGCTCTGGGCCACCTGAAGCTCAGACCCCTCCCCAGCTGGCCACTGGCCCTTCCAGCCCCTCTCTGCCTCTGTGCTTGCTGTCCATGTGGCCACCGGCTGCCACAGGGTGAGCGCTGCTGCCTTTTTCTCTCCCCCAATGAAATCCTTCTGCAGGATGAACAAATGGTCTTGGGGGGGGGGGGAATCAACCCTTCCAGATTCTCCAACTGACCTGTGCTGAAGGAAGTCCTCTTCTGGGTCCTCCTTCTCAGCCTCAGGCTTCTCCTGCCCTGGCCGCGGCTGGACCTGGCACTCTCGAGAGAGACAGGTGGGGACCCAGAAGCCTCCCCTCGCACACTGGGAGTTGAGCTCAGTCGATCGTCACTTTTGGGGAGCTCCTGGGAGGGCTGGGTTGGATTCGCCGCCTGCTCTTTGTGGGTCACCCTCCGGCTTTTTCTGCCCTTGCCCAGCTGGCTCTGAATGACCGCCTCCAAGTTCATCTCCTTCTGGTGCCTGGAGAGTCGCCGAGTCATGCGCACGTAATACTCGAGGGGAAACATGAGTCCCTCAACCACTGTGCAAGAGCTCAGCACCCCCTCGCTGGGGGAGACCCCTCCCAGGGGGGGTGACCCCACTTCAAGGCTGTGCCCTTCGTCCTCTCCACTCGTCTTCTTGCTGGGAGGGTCTCCATTATCCATGTCATCTCTATGCCAATCAGGAACAGTTCCGTCTCCTTGAGCAGCGCCAGGGGTCACCGCTGAGTCCGTCAATCTTCCTGGATCTTCCTTGCCCCCCCACCCGGGCTTCTTCTCCTCTTCCTTCTCCACGCTCTGCACACTGGCACATGACGCACTCGCAGCAGCCGAGTCCTCCAGATCAGAAACATTCTCTTGGCTCAGAGGGTCAAGTGAAGATCCTCGACTCGTGTGCGGCAGGGAAGGAGGAAGTTCTTGCGTTACCCCAGGAATATCGGTTTGCATCCACATGCCCTGTTCAGAGTCTGAATCTGACACTGTAGGAGTAACATAGCGACTTCCTTCTTGGCTAGCCTGCAGGGAGGACTCGGGGGGGCTCCTCTGGCCAGGGTCCAAGAGGCTGCTACTCATCTTAAAGTCTGGGGATTCCGAGTCTTGGTCTGTGGCCCTCTCATGCTCTCCCTGATGCCCCTCCCACGCCGTTTCTCCCCTCCGGGCCAAAGAGAGCATTTCTCTCTGCTCTCCGGTGGTTTCAGTGGTCGAGTGCAGGCTGCAGTTCCTCCCCAGAGTAGGCTCCACAGAATTAAAGAGCACCCTTCGGCCAGACTGATGGGTCCTTCTGGAGCCTGATGTTTCTGGCAAGCTGCCTTCCAAGGCCCCGGACTTAAAGAGGACAGGTGTGGCCTCTGCGGTGCTGCCTGGGTAGGAAATTCCAGCCTGACCCTCCTCCTGGAGCTCTGGAGATAGTTGACTGAGGTCTCCTGCAAAGGACAAAGTTCTTAGGTAGCTTCTTTCCTCAGCACAGCAGAATTGAGCACCCATAACCCAGAGCATGAAAGAGATAGAATGCTCTAAAAGGAGTATTTTAAAAAGTCTTGTTCAAAGAGACATCAGGTGTGAGAAGTTGAGCTGTACCACACAAACAGCCTATTGATACATCAACTCTGTTCGGCTTTTGGAATCGAGAGAACGACGACTGTTTGTAATTACTTGCACTCTGGGTAACCTGCATCTGCACCACCGTTCTCTCTTCCCTTCCTTGCCCCAACTGAAGTCCTGCGTCAGTCCAGCTGCTCTCTGCATCTGAGGAAGTGAGCTCAGCTGCCACCTCACACCCACTTATGCTTCTTATGCGGTGACAATCTGCCATGAACTATGGGGAGAGGGGATGAGAGGGGGGGATGCTTGGGGGAGAGTGAAAGTAACTTTTATTCCCCTCCTCCCACAGAAGCTACTTGCTGTATCTCCCTGAGAGGCTGCTTCAAGGTCCCCCAGTTGGGAGAAGAATGCAGCTGCATACCTTTGAAGTGACCAGTCTGAAAACATCTTTCTTGAACCTCTGGGGGGGGGGGGGGTTGTCAGTGATGGGAAGCCGCTAAGGAAGGTAGAAGGAACCTTCCAGAAAGGGGAGGGAGACAAGAGGCAGCAGAGCCCAGAGCTCCATAGAGGAAGAAAGTAAAGACAGACCCTCCTTAGAATCTCATTAGGGTGAGAATAATAAGTTTAATCTAGCAAGAGTCTGTCTATTGTGTGTAAGCAGATAAAGAACTAAGCTCTGGCTAGATGTCAGGGGTGTCAAACTCAAGGCCTGTGGGCCAGATTTGGCTCGCAGGATGCTTAAGATTTGGCCCACAGGGTCACCCTGGAAACAGCGAAGGACCGGGCCATGGTGCCTCTGCCAGCTCAATGTCACTCGTGTTGGGTCGGCCCTCCCAAGCTCCATTTTCACTGGCAGAGCGCTGCAGGAGGCTGTCACAGTCGAAAACGGAGCCTGAGAGGGGTGCCCCCAACACGAGTGACGTCGAGCTGGCCACGCCCACCCGGCCCCCGAGGTCAAACACAACCCTGATGCGACCCTCAATGAAATCTAGTTTGACAGCCCTGCCCTACCTATGTCACTCTTGAGCTCAGCCTGACATCAATCTCGGGAAAAGTCAGCTCAAACAGGTGGCTCCCGAGAGACGTTCAGTGAAATCTCCTTCAAGTCAAGCTCGAAGGTGTTGATTCGTGGTGATCTCTGGGCAAGGACATGGCAGCCGATTGTTGTTGCTGCTACTTCTGGGGCATCTTCTCGGCTCCCCAACTTGGCCTACAGTTGTGGCACTCCCAGAGGTGCCAAGCAGGTCTGATTGGAGGGGGTCAACTAGCTCTCAAGATCCATCAGAGACCCTCACCCCAATTCTTTCTACTAGAAGCCCAACAGATGCTGTCCCAGTGTTACCTGCATGGTTCTTCAGAGCTTCCTCCTGTCCAAACAGGTTTTGCTCTGTAACCGTTTTCTTGATGTAATTTTTAACCTTCGCAGCTCTCTCAGCACGCTGTGAAAACAACGAAGGGTAGTCAATATGACTATTGACTTACTAGTCAATATGAAATTAGTCAATTTCTGCTGATTTTTTACTCAAGCCTTCCCCCAATGAAGAGATTGTACCTTTTATTTACCCACCTGTAACCTGTGGAATGTTTTGTTGTATTCTCTTTTCAATATGGCCAGTTTTTCTTTCAGCTGGAAGACAAAACGGTTGTTAAATAATTGGTATATTTAACTTGAAAAGTACTGTAACTGAAAGGTTTAGACAGCAACCATATAATTCTATTTAGGTTTATATCTATGGAGATTCTCAGTCCTCCAGGTCATGGTCGTCCCAAAGGTGCTTTTTCAAGAGGCAACTGGACTTCCTTGTTTTATCTTTGAAGATGTTTCGCGTCTCATCCAAGAAGCTTCTTCAACTCGGACTGGATGCAAATGACCAGCTGTCTGCAAGGAGTATAAATCCTTCCATCCTCCACCATCCAGTCAGAGCTGAAGAAGCTTCTTGGATGAGAAGCGAAACGTCTTCAAAGAAAAACAAGAAAGTCCAGTTGCCTCCATTTGGGTTTGATTTGACAGTGAAGAACAAGCACATGCGCTCCCAGAAATTCCACAGCTCCCCAAGAAAATTCCACATAACCTGAAAACTCATTTCTAGCATTATGAACTTCATAGAGGATCTGAACAGAGACAGACAGGACTTCCTGGCTTCTATGAGTTCATAGTAGGTGTATACCTGGCCCAACTGAAAGGAGCCCCACAGGGTGGGCTTGGTCTTCAGAGCAGACAGCCTGAGGATCTGAAGAGGGAAGGCATGGTGGATCACTGCTTTGCTATTCTCCGATCACTTTCAGGTGAACATGAAGTTTAAGAACACCCTAGATCCCTTTAGAGGTAGGGGACACGCAGGATTCACTTGTGGATCCACTTGATTTTTTAAGTAACTGGAGACATTCCCCGTGTTCTGACAGACAACTCCACTCTTCTGGACCTCAGAGGTAACAAGGGGAGGTGGTGGGTGGGTGTTCTCAAGCAGCCTTACTCCATATGTGGATCCTGGCTAGTTAAGGGACCTGCATCTGTCTGGTTCATCAGACATCGTTGGCACATTCCTGGTGCCAATTAAACAATGCCCCTTGCCTAGACCCTGCAAGCGCATCTTCTCTGTAGCAGTGCCAGCTCTCTAGAATGGGATTCCCCCCCTCCCCAAAACCTGAACAGCCCCCCAAGGGACTGGCGTTTTGAAGGGCCTTGAAAACCCAGCTCTTTGGTAAGGACGACTGACACCCCTTACGTTGTGTTTCCCTCCCAATTTTTCCTTTGCCATCATTGTTGTTTTGACTTGTGCTATTTTTGTGGGTTTTTTTAAATTGTTCTTTGTTTTCAAATGCTTTAACAACTGTAAACTGCCCAGAAGCACCGGGAGTCAAGAGGCCACATAGATAGAATGGATTATTAGCTTATTGTACTCGGAACACTTGGGGATGGATTCTAGTGTTTTGTGTGTCCTGTTTTGTGTGTGCATTATTTTTAAATGACCGGGAATCGTCCACCATCTGGTCCCACGGATTAAGTCCCCAAATGGGTCCAGTAAAGGCATTTCTTTATTGGCCAAGTGGGATTGGACACCCAAGGAATCTGTCTCCGGTGCAAAAGCTCTCAGTGTACACAAAAGACGTAAGTGGTAAATGATGACCATAGTCATCATAAAAATACATTCAGAAGGTACAACACTGAGTGATAGTCGTAGGAGACCATCCACATAAATGGTCCTAGGAAACTAAATGAAAGTTTTGGGTTCCCACCTTAGCAAGAGCCAGGCGGGCGACGCTGCCTGAACTGGGGAAGGTCTCTTCTCCTCCTGCACGGGGCGGATCTCCTCCACCCCCCACCGAACAGAGCTCGCAGCAGCCCCAGGAAGGGCACCGGCTCCCTTTCCTGCAACTGCCCCGCCGCCACCGCCGGGGGAGAGCCCCCTTCGCCCCTTTTCCCTGCCCCGGGGAGCCTTTTCAGCCCAGTTCAGCCGAGGCGGGCCCCGCACGCGCCACCCGCGAGCCTTTCCGACGGACGGCGGCGTTTTCTCTCTCTTCCCCGGCATCTTGTGGCGGGGAGTTCCGCAGGCTGCGCTCAAGGCGGACGGGAAGGGAGGAAATTCCTTAGTTGCCTCGTCCGTCAGCCCGTCCGTCCGCTCTCTCTCTCTCTCCGGAGAAGGCCGGAGGGTCGGTCTGCCGGGGGCGCCGCTCACCTGCTCCTTCTGCTGCGGGGTCAGAACCGCCGAGCCGGGAACCTCCATCCCCACCACTCCCGGTCGCCTCCGCGGCGCATGCGCGCCACCCCTTTCGCGCCAAGTGCAAAAAAAAAAAGCGCAACACGCTCGGGCCCGCCTCCCACGGCGCCGCGCCCAATGGGAACGCGCGATTCTTGGCGGCCGATGGGCGAGCTGCGGCCATTGGCCAGGGAGGGGGGTACGGAAGCCGGCTGCGGCCAGGGGAGGGCGGTTCCCGCGGACGGGCCGTGCCGGGCGCCGCCATGGAGCTGGGCGAGATGCTCTACAACAAGTCCGAGTACATCGAGACGGTGCGCGGGGCCGGAGGGCGGGTGGGGTCGGGCGGAGGCGGGTTCTCGGGAGGGGAGGGGGAAGGGGAGGCGGGTCTGCCTGGAGGTGACCCTGCGGCCTTCCCTGCCAGGCCTCCGGGAACAAGGTCAGCCGGCAGTCGGTGCTGTGCGGGAGCCAGAACATCGTCCTCAACGGAAAGGTCCGGCCACCAGCATGGGACGGGGCGCGGGGGTGGGGGAGGCGGGGGTGGGGGTGGGGGTGGGGGGCCGGGAGAAGGCCACGAGACCCTCCCTGCGGGGGAGGGGAAGTGGGGAGGGGGCGGGGCCAAAGAGGGAGAGGGGGCGAGGGTTCAAAGGTCAAAAGCCCCCAGCCCCTCCCGGCGCCTCTCTGCCCCCGCAGACCATCGTCATGAACGACTGCATCATCCGGGGGGACCTGGCCAACGTGCGCGTCGGGCGGCACTGCGTGGTGAAGAGCCGGAGCGTCATCAGGCCCCCCTTCAAGAAGTTCAGCAAAGGGTGAGGACTGGGCCCCCCTCCCCCTCCCCCTCCCCTCCAGCAGAGGCCACGGTCAGGAACACCGGTGGGCTTTATAGATGTAGAAGTTAGTGTTTCTCTCTTTCTTCCTCTCTCTCTCTCTCTCTCTCTCTCTCTCACGCACACACACACACGCATGCGTATGTATGTATATATACATGTGTGTATATGTATACATACATGTATGTATGTATAAGTATATGTATACCAGTGGTGGCTTTCAAAATTTTTTACTACCGGTTCTGTGGGGTGGCTTGGTGGGCGTGGCTTGGTGGGCATGGCAGGGGAAGGATACTGTAAAAACTCCATTCCCACCCCACTCCAGGGGAAGGATACTGCAAAATCCCCATTTCCTCCCAAACAGCTGGGATTTGAGAGGCAGAGAATAGATGGGGGTGGGGCCAGTCAGAGGTGGCATTGACCGGTTCTCCGAATTACTCAAAATTTCCGCTACCGGTTCTCCAGAACTGGTCAGAACCTGCTGAAACCCACTTCTGATGTATACATGTATGTATGTATGTAACAGGGATGCAGTGACTCAGTGGCTAAGATGCTGAGCTTGTCAATCGAAAGGTCGGCAGTTCAGCGGTTCGAATCCCTAGTACCGGCCAACGGGGTGAGCTCCCGTTACTTGTCCCAGCTTCTGGCAGTTCGAAAGCATTTTAAAAAAAATGCAAGTAGAAAACTTGGGACCACCTTTGGTGGGAAGATAACAGTGTTCTGTGCACCTTTGCTGTTGAGTCATGCCGGCCACCTGACCACGGAGACATCTTCGGACAGCGCTGGCTGTTTGGCTTTGAAACGGAAATGAGTATGTATGTATGTATATGTATGCATATACATGTGTATATATATATATGTGCATATACATGTATATGTATATATGCATGTATATACACAGACGTTATAACATAAATAGAACACATGAATGTTATATATAAATATAACATGTATTCTATGTTATAATGTGCTTTATATACATATAAATATAGCATTTATTGGCCTCCCATTTTACTCTAGGGCAGTGTTTCTCAACTTTAAGATGAGTGGACTTCAATTCCCAGAATTCCCCATCCAGCTATGCCTCCCATCTCCTTTTGCTCTTTCTTGCCTTAGCTGCCACTGAGGAGGGAGGGAGGGGTGGGTGGGTGGATGGAAAGGAATGCTGTTTAGTATACTGTCTTTGGTGTAAGCCGCCCAGAGTCCTCGGAGAGTGGGCAGCATAGAAATATGACTAATAAATAAATCCCCAATAGCTCTGCCGTTTGTTGGCCTCAGTGTGTGTGTGGGGGAGAGCGGGCAGAGGTTGGGGAGGGGACTTGGGATTCTTGCATTTTGTCCCCTCATCTGGCCTGGTTTTGTTCAGCGCTGAGCATGGAAGGGATGCTGATGATGAAGCTGCCATCTTCCTTTCTTTGCAGGGTTGCCTTCTTCCCTCTGCACATCGGGGATCATGTCTTCATTGAGGAGGATTGTGTTGTCAATGCGGCTCAGATTGGCTCCTATGTCCACATAGGCAAGAATTGCGTCATTGTAAGTGCCCGTAGCTGCTCGGCTTCAGGTGATGAGGAACTCTCTGGCTCAAATCTTACTTCTAGCATGGGTCACTTTGTGCCATATTTGATGCCCTTAGCTAAGCAAGCTGCTTCCTTTGTGGGGGCAGCAACTACAACATTTGCTTACCTGCTTTGTGGCCCAAAACAAGATCCTGTGTGACTGGGTATCCTGGCTTCAGCTCTTAGGGTTAAAAGCACAACAAATTCAGGGGCTGTTTTGTCCCTTCGTTTGGAGGCTTTTCAGAAGCTCTGTTGAGCAGCTTAGATTGGGTCCCCAGCCCCCAGTCCATGGACGGCACCGGTCCATAGCCTGCCAGAATCCGGGCCGCGCAAACAAGCGAAGCCCCATCCGTGGGATGCAGGCAGCAGGTGAAACCTCTCTCCACGGAACCGGTCCCTGGTGCCCAAAAGGTTGGGTGCCGCTGGCCTAGAGCTTCTTCCAAGCTCGCTTCTACCTTGCTTCCCTCCATTTCTTGTGGATCAGCCCCAACGCATTCATCATTTCTGGGGTTAGGGCAGCAACCCCCGAAGCATGATGGTGACTCCTGGTCTTCAGACCATCTTGGCTACACTCCAGATAGTTCAGATTCCTGGCCTGTAACTGACATTACAGAGACCATTGAAAGCCCCGTTTCTCCAGCTTAGCAACTTTAAGATATGTGGAGTTCAACTCTCATGATTTTCCAGCCAGCGTGAGATTTCTGGGAATCGAAGTCCGCTTACCTTAATGTTGCTAAACTTGAGAAATCCTCAGGAACTTAAGGCTGGCTCCATCTGTTTGGCCTGATGCTGCAGAGCAGAGCGCTTCCTGCTTAAAGCCAAGATGACATCTTCATGTCTGGGTATCCTTTTAGGGTCGCAGGTGTGTCCTGAAAGACTGCTGCAGAATCCTTGACAACACAGTGTTGCCTCCGGAAACAGTAGTCCCGCCTTTCACCGTCTTCTCTGGCTGCCCGGGTAAGCTGGAAGGGGCAGAATGCTGGGGGGTGTGGGGGGGTGTGGCAGGAGGGCCGGCGAGTTGCTCATGTTCCTGTCTTCTCCAGGGCTCTTCTCGGGGGAGCTGCCTGAGTGCACGCAGGAGCTGATGATCGATGTCACAAAGAGCTACTACCAGAAATTCCTGCCCCTCACCCAGATTTGAGAAGCTCCTCCTTGGGCGGGGGGCTCAGGACTGGCATGGCCTACGGGTGCCCTGCAGGCAGCTGGCTCCAGAGCTGACCAGCAGGCTTGCTGAAAGCTTCCCAGTCAGGCCACCTTCCTTGTTGGCGATGTCCTCCCGCCTGGATTGACCAGGCCCTCGCCAGAAGTTCTGGTTTCCTCTGGATGGTTGGAAGAGGCTGGCCTTGACCTGACTCTCCTCATTGTACTCCATGATGGTTTAACTCTAAATCCGCTTTGTTCTGTCGAGCAGGGGAGGGAAACAGTCCGTGCTTGTGGGGTTGGTCTAGGATGTTGCTGCTCTTGTTCTTGCTGGTCCTTCCCGCTCGATCACTATCCTCCCTTGAGGTGCAGCCTTCTTGCTGCCGTTCCTTTTGTTCTGGAGCCCCTCAGAGCTTTCCTCGGATGCTGTCAAGCCGTCTCTTCAGGCGCCAGTTGTGAAAGCAGCTGCAGCCCAAATCCAGAGCTCTGCTTTGTGGGCTGTTAATCAAAGCGGATCTTTCCTCCTCCGATTCTTTGTGGGGTTCAGGAGTGACCTGAGCTGGCAGGGCCGGATCACGCCACTCTCCAAGGGACCACAGCTGCACCCTCCAACCGAAGGTCACTTAGGAGAAACTGGGCAAGAGGAAAGGACTGTAGGGGAGATTAGCTACTTAGGGGGAGGGCAGAAGCTGCTGCCAGGCAAATAGTCTCTGGGGGAGGTGCAGCCTCTTCCTTGCTCTTCCCTCTCTCAGCTCTTCCCAGTGCTCTTTGTCCGCCCCCTCCCCCCAATAGGTAAAGCAGCCTAATTTGTGTCTCTTCATTCTTAGTCGTCTTGTGCTGCCACTTTCTGCATGTTAGACTTCAGTTTAAGTTGCTCCAGGCTCTCTGTGTGGCCGCACTCGCACACATGTGTGTGTGTTTCTACGTTCTTGGCCTCTAAACCTCCACTGTGTATTAACCAACCAGGGACCATTTTGGCAGATTGCAGGAACCCTTGCTCACTGCACAGGTGCTCTCTGGTTTGTTGGCTTTTACCTGTATGTATATTAAAGTCTGAACTGCCCAACCGAGCATGTTGACAGTGGTCGTTCTCTCACATCAGTCTCTGGGGAGGACTAGTCACCTGACCACTCAGCTTCTCCATGTGCCCAGGAGGCCCAGTGCCTGGCATGGCTGGGATACCCTTGGATGAGACTATGAAATGGGTTGTGCCCAAAAGTCACCGAGGCCTCCTCTTTTTTTCCACCTCTGGGGTGGGGTCCGTGGCTTGCCAAACCCGCCATGAAAATGGTGCTGGGAGGAAACTACAAGCAATGTTGTTGCTGACAAACTCTAAAAGTCATTCCACAATAAAATTTTGCTATATGGGATTTATATATTTTATTCCTCTAACAGCCCACCTCAACCAGTGATTCTGGGTGGCATAAAGCATACAAACAAATTGAAAGCCGTACAAAATAAACATACCCAGTTGCCATGTAGAGCTATTGCCATGGATGTTAATAAGCCAAGGGACGGGGCCCTTAACATACTTGGGGGCCCAAGCACATAACCAAGTCCTCGCAGACTTAGGAAAGGCCAATAGGGTTGGATTCATTCTGAAGGGAGAATGTTCCAGAGGCTGTGGCAGAGAAGGCACATCATCTGGTCCCCACCAGCCGACATGCCTTGGGTGATGGGGCCCACATCATCCCCATCCTGACAGACCAAATTTGATGGGCGGAAACAACTGAGAGAAGATGTTCCCTCAGGTAGCCTGGCCCCAAGTCATGAGTGGCTTTAAAGGTGTGGGATCCTTGGTGCTCTCTGAGGTTGTCTTCTTGCAGAGATTTCATTACCAAACCAGGTAACCTCATTGGTGCTTGTTGGGTAATGGAACATCTGCAGCTGCCATGCGATCAACTTCACAACCTTCCTCCAAAAGGGAATTTTGGAATGGATGAAAGCTGCTTAGACTTGTTGGGTCAAGTGATGGCCCCTTCAGAAGAGGGCACATCAGCGCTTCCATAAGAGAGAATGGAATCGCCCCCTCCCACAAGGAATTCTTAATCACTTCCCACACCCAGCCATGCATCCCCTCCTGGCAGAGATGGCATTCAGCAGGTTCTGATCAGTTCTGGAGAACCGGTAGCGGAAATTTTGAGTAGTTTGGAGAACCGGTAACTACCACCTCTGACTGGCTCCACCCACATCTATTCTCTGCCTCCCGAGTCCCTGCTGATCGGGAGGAAATTGGAATTTTGCAGTAACCTTTCCCTGTCATGCCCACCAAGCCACACCCACAGAAGCGGTAGTAAAAAAATTTGAATCCCACCACTGCCTCCTGGGCAACCTTAACCAGCCAGGAGGGACGCAAATCTATCACAGAGGTAGCTGAACCAGCAGTTGAAGAGCCCTGTCCACTTCCTCAGGGTTCCTCAGGATTACTTTGGTAGCCAGGGATCTACTGTCAGGCCTAAGCTCCAATGATAACACCGTGTGATCTAGTTCAGGTCTTTGCTTATACCTGAAGGACAGAACCTTGGCAGACTAAAGTTGTAACCTTCAGGGGTCTCCAAACCAGTGGTGAAACGTAAAATTTGTTACTACCGGTTCTGTGGGCGTGGCTTGGTGGGGGATAATGTGACTTGGTGGGTGTAGCCAACATTTTTTTTTTAACTTTTAAAACCATTTTTTCTACAACCTCTTCAGCTGAAGAGGTTGTAAAAAAATGCTTTTAAAAGCCTCTGACGATCCCAGCTGAGCCGTGCGATCATCAGAGGCTTTTTTTTTCTTTTAAAAACATTTTTTCTACAACCTCTTCGGCCAAAGTGGTTGTAAAAAAAATGCTTTTAAAAGCCTCTGACGATCCCAGCTGAGTTGCCTGATCAGCAGAGGCTTTTTTTCTTTTAAAAGCCTCTGATGATCCCTACTGAGCCGCATGATCCTCAGAGGCTTTTTTTTTTTTTTTTAACTTTTAAAAGCATTTTTTCAGCCGAAGAGGTTGTGGAAAAAATGCTTTTAAACATTTAAAAAAAGCCTCTGATGATTGCGCAGCTCAGCTGGGCATGGGGGGTGGGGCGGGAATATTTGCTACCGGTTCTCCAAACCACATGCCGCCTTCGCTATCGGATCGGGTGATCCGGTCCAAACCGGGAGCATTTCACCCCTGCTCCAAACTTGGCGACTTTAAGACTTGTGGATGCATGGCTGGCCAAGGAATTCTGAGAGTTAAAGTCCACAAGTTTTAAAGTTGCCAAGTCTGGAGAGACCTGTTCTAACCTCTAACACATATCCTGAGTTCAGACTGCAGCCTCTTGTTCTTGGCCCCTTTCTGGACTGCTGCTTCCTCCCTGGGAAGTGCTGGGCTACTGCAGACATTCCCTGCTACCCTTTCTTCAGCTGCACATTCCATCACATCTCCTTCAATGAGTGCATGATTTATAAGAAGCACTTTGCACCTCGTGCTGTAGCCGTCTGGAGCCCTTGTGGGCAATCCCAGTCCTCTCCTGGCCTGGAGAGGAATTGCAAAGAATCGGTCCATTCACCAGCTCTTCATTTTGCCGCGGTCATGAGCTCTGCTCTCAACACAGCCATCTTCGGTTCACCTTTCCTCTTTGGAAGTCTCAACTCACCTGGAGGATGATTCAGGGCAGCATCTCCCCAGACGGGTCAATGGTTCTGGGGGTGTGGATGCTTCCTTGGCCACAACTGTCAGCTCTTCGTGTTCGTTATGAACGCTACGTGTTTCCCCGAAAATAAGATCCTGTCTTATATTTTTTTGAGCCCCGAAATAAGCGCTTGGCCTTATTTTCAGGGATGTCTTATTATTTTGGGGCGTGTGGAGCAAGACGGGGCTCCTCTTGCCATCTTACCTGATTTCCAGCTCTGTCTCCCTAACCAGAGGAAATGGCGGGGACCGGCTGCGCATGCGGTTAAATATTTTCGGGGCGGCTTATTTTTGGGGGAGAGGCTTATTTCAGCGCATGCACTCAAAAGCCCAAAGCTTATTATCAGGGGATATCTAATTTTAGGGGAAATGGTACTACTTTTATTATTATAAGACAACCTGGCAAGTCTGAATAGCTTCCCCCTCCCCCTGGCGGGAAACCTGGGAAGGTCCCGTCTTGAGATGCTTTCTCCAATTACATTTCTGCCCTGGACTCAGGTTTATATCTGATAGTTGTCTTGGTTGCACTTCAAGGATATTCCTTCCGCTCATTACACACCCGCCCCCCATAACTCGGAGGTTTATTGCTAGCTTCAGTGAAATATATCTTCATACACGTACATTCAGGGTTTCTGGAACTCTGAAAATTTCAAGTAACTCCTTTATATACAAAGTGGCTGGAAAAATCTCAGATAATAATTTTAACAGCCATGGTGGTGCAGTGGGTAGAGTGTAGTACTGCAGGCTACTTCTGCTGACTGTCAACTGCCTGCAGTTTGAATCTCACCAGGCTCAAGGTTGACTCAGCCTTCCGTCCTTCTGAGGCCAATAAAATGAGGATCCAGATTGTTGGGGGTGATCAGCTGACTCTATAAACCGCTTAGAGAGGGCTGTAGAGCACTGTGGAGCGGTATATAACTCAGTGCTATTGCTAAGTACAGGTAATCCCCAACGTACAATAGTTTGTTTAGTGACCATTCGAAGTTACAACGGCACTGAAAAAAGTGACTGATGACCATTTTTCACACAACTGTTGTAGCATCCCATGATTACGTGATTCACATTTGGATGCTTGGCAATTGGTTCATATCTATGATGGTTGCCTTTTGCGACCTTCTGACAAGCAAAGTCAATGGGGGAAGCCAGATTCACTTAACAACCGTGTTTCTAATTGAACAACTGCAGTGATTCACTTAAATGTGGCAAGGAAAATGGGACAAAATTCACTTCACAAATTTCTCACTCAGCAACACAAATTCTAGGGTCAATTGTGGAAATAAGTGGAGAACTACCTGTACAGAAGTCAGGAAAGAGTCGAATAGGTATTGCTACTTATCTGTTGCCCTTCTTACAACACATGCACACACAAACACATTAAGGCGTTGAAGATTGAAAGAAGGAGTTCTCTAAAACAGGCTGAAGGATGTCTTAGCATCCCACGGAGGAAAATGCTTCAGCCATCCCCAGTGGGCAAATACCAGAGAACTTCCTATCGTTAGAGGAGGTTCTTCTGACACCTACACAAATGAAGAAAGTCCAGTTGCCTCTTGAAAAGCATCTTTGGATCATTAAGTTGAGGGCTACCTGTACCTTTGGTGTGTTGGAGGGCTTTAGTTGGTCTGTGTACTATCGTAATGCTGTGTGGTTGTAGTAGTGTGTGGATTGTTGCAGATACGTTTTTCATGTAACATCATGTTATCCTTTTCGTAGCTTCTTTCGATTGGCACTTTTTGATAAATTTGTATGGGTATCTCTTATAGTGTTGGACGATGTATAGTCTGTTTCCTTTTTCTGGTGTTCTAGATTGTTGCAGTACATTTGTAGTCATCTGAATAAAGTTCTCACACAGCTCCTCTTGTGGGAAGTTGGGTTGTTACTTTGCTTACGGGAGTCTTTGATTAGTGCAGGTTGTTTTTCAATAGGCTTGCATTTCTAATCTGCTGTCTTCTGATGAGGATGTCCAGGTACGGTAATGTGTCACTGTTTCCTTCTGCCCTTTTCAATTTTATTTTTTTGGACATGTTATGGATTGTTTCATGTGTCTCTTTTTTTATTACGATGAAAGTGTCAGTCACATACTGGACCCATGCAAGACTGATGCCTTGCGCACGGTCACTCATGCCCTAGTTACCTCCCGTATGGACTACTGTAATGCTCTCTACCTGGGGCTCCCCTTGAAAAGCACCCGGAGGCTCCAACTGGTCCAGAACGTAGCCGCGCGGGTGATTATGGGCACAGCTCGTTACGCCCATGTAACACCTCTCCTACGCGAGCTGCACTGGCTCCCGGTGGTCTTCCGGGTGCGATTCAAGGTGTTAGTTATCACCTTTAAAGCGCTCCATGGCTTAGGACCTGGGTACCTACGAGACCGTCTTTTGCCACCAATAGCCTCCCACCGACCAGTTTGTTCTCACAGGGAGG